TTTCTATTTCGTTAAAAGAAATAAAAAACCGACTAGAAGATCTTAAATAACAAGAAGATGAAAATTTTCCTTTGTTTTTATAGATATGATCAGACATACTTGAGTTACTATCATGAGCGGATTTCGTAGTCAAAAATGGGACCCATGGTTAATCATTAGTCAGATTATTGCAGTTCAAACCTTATATTATTTCGGTCTGGGATGTTGGGTTTTCTTGCTTACATTGTTTGATAACCAAGTGCCTACACTTGATTATCTATTTTCATATAAAGTAACTAAATTTGCTTGAGCATGGTTCTATATCAATTGATTTTGAATACTTTGCTTAGAAACTGAAGCTTTCCAATTGGAGTGAACAATTATTTGTTAGCATCTTTTTCATCAATGCTCTAACAAGGTAAACCTATCGGTGTTGAGATCATCGTTCATGTTCGTGTGTTTCATTCTAGTGGATTAGCAATTGTTTATCTTGTCGGTCGATATAAACAATGCCTAGATTTTTCTTTAACAGTTCATTTCTATCATTTCTTTGCTTGTTGGATGTATAATTCTCAATATCCGAATGTTTTCTCTTGGTATGTTGTACAATTTTTCTCCGTTGTCATTATGACGATCCTCTCGGAACATTTCTCCAAAAAGCACGAGCTCCGAACAATTCCACTGAGTTCACGTGTTGATCTGTGAAAATAATATTGTCATGTACATCTACTTTGTTTGCTGTTCATGCAGTAAAGCAAGTTCTTTTGCATTTTCTCTGTTTGTTTGTTCGTCTTTGTGTTGGTTTTTCAATAATGTCAATAATAATTTCGGTTCACTAACTCACTCCCCCTGAGTTTGCTCAAATCAGCGAAGATATTTTTGGCTGCGTAAACATCTATGACTAAGCCAGTGCGCAAATCTAATGTTCGAAACATGACGAAATTGCTTTACCATATGGAATAAATCGATTTTGTCAGAAAGAAGTGCGCCCGTGTGGCTCAGTGGCTAGAGCACTGGTCTAGTAAACCAGGGGTCGACAGTTCAATTCTGTCCTCGGGCATAGAAAACTTATCATTTTTTTTTCTCTCCACTATTGGAAACATATTTTGTCTGACATTCTCACTTGCGCACGGTCTCGATCGAAATCTTTCGAATACTTTCACTAGTGCGTATTACGTTCGTACGATTGTTTTTTGAACTGTCTTTTTTAGATCATGTCATCAGTATTATTACGTGATTTTGTACTTCAAATAGCTATTTGTTCCGAAAGAGCAGCTTGTATCGCTCGTTATATTCGTTTTATGCATTCAGATTTCAACAGCATTATTCAAGAGAAACAACGTAACGATTTGTTCGATTATTGTCTCGTCTTTTTATACTATGAGAGTATTCTATTTCTTTTAGTCGATGAAAACCATCAACATCTCGATGCAGATTACAAAACTCTAGCGTAAATTCAATTCTTTCAGCTGATTTATTCTGTATTTCTGTTCCATTTAAGTGATGTTATCATTCAGGAAGTCATAAAACGAGATCTAGTAAGGCTGGTAAGATAATTCAAGCATAATGTTTCCTCCCGGAAAGTCGAGTACATCTACTTTAGTATCCAAAATTGGACCAACGTATCTTTGGCGAAGAGGATGGATCTTTAAAGCTACAATCAAGCGCTGAAAAGATTATTATCGATGTTACCGGTACCGATGAAGATATTGTTACTCTTCTCAGTAAGGAATTTCACTGATTCGTTGCAATTTTCGATTGTTTCCTTTTCATCGTATAGAACAATTGTTCAATAATAAGTCTAGTCGATCCATCGAAACATTAGCTAATATTATTTCTTCGTCTTTCGACATCACTCTCCCAGAGCACTACCAGCATTCGCTTCGAAGAATTCCAGAAGATTTTTCCATTGATTTATCTAACATTGGTATATGGATTGATCCAGTCGATGGCACACAACAGTATATCAATGGTACAGATGGAATTATCGATCCACACACGGGCATTACCATAGATGGTCTTCCAACAGCTTTAGTACTCATTGGTTGTTTTGATATTCGACATGGCAATGCGATTATTGGAGTTATTAACCGAGCATTTCACCAACGAATCGATGCATTTAAGTATTGTTGAAAAAGAATAAACAACGGTTGTTCAGTATCCATTGATTTGTTTAGATGGAAAAGTTTGATTTATTGGGGCACGGCATTGCCTGATGGAAAATTCAATAATTTAGATGATGTATGCAAAGAAACTAGAAACAACGATAAGCAAGTTCTATTGCATGGAAGTGTAAACACAAGTACATTTAGTAATATGTTCAAAAATTGGACCAAACTAGAAGTGTCTGCATGTGGTGCGTAAATATCGTTTTTTTTTGTCTCAGGAGAAAGGGATGTTTGCATTTTGAATCCTATGCGAATACTTTTTCTCTGCTTATTTGTCACCATCGGTGACTAGCGTACTCTACAACGTACACGATCATAGTAATGATTAGTTACTAACCCACTTATACTTAATTTTTACCACTAACCACATTTCGATAGAGTCTAGTCCTTCTCAAGATCAAAGTCCAGTTTAATGGCTTCTATTTTGTGAAATTTCCATATGATTCGTGTTTTTTAGGCAATAAACTATTGGCCATTGCATTGAAACAAGCAAACGTGTTTCTGGTAACCAAGGCTGCTGCGTATAATTGGGATCTATGTGCCGCTCATGCTATCATTTTATCAGTCAATGGTCAAATACTTGATCTGCGTCAAACTTTAGATTTTTACAAACAAAATCAATCTCTGATGAATCTCAATTTAACAGCATTTCCGATTGTTTACAATAAAAAAATCAGCTCATCACACTTCAATCCGAAAGATTACGCATGTGCACCTTTTATCGCTTATCATAATCAACAAGATTTAGTAGATATTCTTCAATTATTAGCATCAGATAGCATTGCGTTTGACTGAAACAAATTTTGTAACGATAAACTTTATCAGTTTTATGTATATGTCATCTTCCTTGAATTTGGAATCTCAATTGATTAATTTTTTAGCAATAGCTTTGAATATTTTAGATATGACGAATGCATCGAAGTCATTACGTCGCAATCGACCAGGCACCAAAGCAAGCGACTGGTGCAGCTGGCCAGATGAAACTCTAGATAGTATGGATTCACTCTATCATATTCAACAAGTGAGATTGTCAATGAAAATCTCCGAATGATTTATATTCGATTGTTTAGTATATCCAACAAATTATTCGACGGAATCCATCGGATATTGATGCAATATTAAAAGTACCTGACCAGCAGGATGAAGGCGTATGGAAATATGAACATCTGAGACAATTCTGTCTGGAACTTAACGATTTAACCGTTTTCCTGCAAGTAATCGAAAAGATATTTCCATCTAGACTGAATTCTCAACTTTTCGTCTTTATTTATAGAAAGAATGTTTACCAGATACTTGCACACAAATGACCGCAACTGAACAATGGATATTCTTATGTGCAGCGCATAAAAATCCGAAAGAAGTTCGTTGTAATCTTGTCGATCCCAACGTAAACACGTTTTTACTTTAGTGCCCAGCAATCGATTATACCAGACACACCCTCGATGGTGCTGCTTCTCTCTTAAATAGTAGTAAATATTTTCCCAGCCGGTAAATATAACTTTTGAACCAAGTTTTTTTTTCCCGAGAGAAATTCTTCTGAGGATAGTTCATCTCGGAAACTTTCCTAAAACGATCTTTGTTTTGTCTGCAGAATCTCTATCAAAGATACTTCCATAGCCAAATTAGGCAGCGTTTGTCGTCGCATTTACCGTATATTTTCTCATGCTTACTATCATCATCGTACACTTTACGATGATTTCGAAGACCGTACACATCTCTGTCGCCGTTTTACCGTCTTTGCTTTACGTTATGGTTTAATTCCTAAAGATAACTTAATCGTTCCAATAAATGGCATTAATCAAGATGTCACCACTATTATGCAACAGCAAACCGCTCCTATTCGAACACATTCAGCTCAAACGTTAGATAATGGCATTAGCTCACCGTCATCGTCAAGTGCATCGGAAAGCGAAGCATAGAACGAGAGATCAATATACAATTTCATTCTTTCTACACTTAGATTAGGCGTGTATAAAAAGTGTATCCCATTAATAATAATAAAAACTCAAAATCTTTGTCTTCTGTTTTGATACTATAGTAAAAACAACACACATATGCATATATATATAAATTCAAACCATACAAAGAGCAAGATAACTTGATAAGCAGATGCATACATACAAAAGAAAAGAGAGAAAAAAAGAAAAAAAGAAAAAATAAAACAGGTGTCCGTAAGGATTAGATATATTCTCATAGTTATTGTGATAAACGTTTTTGAAGTGCATCTAATTCTAAAGTAATTTCTTTTGGTAAATTTTCGTTGACGTTTTCTTCAAAATAATTTCTTATAGCTTTGCATTCGGAGAGCCAGAAATCATTTGAAATTTCCAATAGCGCTGGATTAACTTCACCGCCACGAATACCATCCGATGTGCTTTGATCAGGTATAAGACCAATAGCTGTTTTTCGAGCTGATGCTTTTTTAGACGAGTCATTTGTTAAACGACGGAAGATCCAATCAATTACTCGAATGTTTTCACCAAAGCCAGGCCATAAAAATTGATTCGTTTGAGAATCTTTGAGAAACCAATTGACATGATAGATTTTCGGTAATTGAAGACCTTCCTTCTTTCCAAAAGATAGCCAATGAGAAAGATACTGTCCGAAGTTGTATCCGAAGAATGGTCGCATAGCAAATGGATCGTGCATGATTTGTTTTCCTAGAAAGAAGAGAAAAGATCTCGAAAATATGGAAACACCGGGCGTTTTTTCTTTTCTTTTTACCTTTGAATTCAGCTGCAGCTGTTGATTCTGATCGCATCGATGCTCCGACAAAAACTCCGTGTTGCCAATTGAAAGATTCGAAGACTAGTGGCACACCAACCGGTCGTCGTCCGCCAAAAATAATCGCCTCTATCGGTACACCTTGAGGATTATTCCATTCAGGATCGAGAATGGAACATTGTTTTATTGATGTACAGAAACTAAATATTTGTAGAGAAATTGTTTGATTTTCGTTTTGATGAAGATTTTTCTTTGACTTCTTACCGACTGTTTGGATGTGCAGCAGGTTCGCCTAAGTCGACCGACCATCTTTTGTTTTTCCATGAACGAATTAGAGTTTCATGAAGTCCATCGATTTCTTGGTCGATTCCTTCCCAGTAGACATCTCCATCACTGGTTTCAGCAACATTTGTGAAAATCGTATTTTCATGTACCATATCTACAATGTTACATTTAGAACGGTTAATCAATTCGCTGGTATTCTGTGCTTACCCAATGCAATTGGATTCGTTGATTTACTGGTGCCTGGTGCAACACCAAAAAATCCAAATTCAGGATTGATTGCTCGTAAGCGACCTTCTTCATCGAAATGCATCCAAGCAATATCATCACCTAAGAATTAGTTTTCAAATTACAATGAACTCTCCTTTTAATGTTTACTTACCGACACATTCAACTTTATAACCGGGAAGACCCTTTGGACGAAGCATAGCCAAATTCGTTTTACCACACGCACTAAAAGATCGACATAGAAAAAGATTCATCATCACAATCTTTTTCTTACCTTGGAAACGCAGCAACAAAATACTTCTTCACACCTTCGGGATTGGTGATACTCATAATCTAAATACGATGAAAAGAAGATGATGTCTGTCAATTCCGTACGGTATTCGTCAAATACTTACAAGCATATGTTCAGCTAACCATCCTTCTCGTTTAGCTAAACTACTTCCAATTCGTAAAGCTAAGCATTTCTTGCCGCAAAGAGAATTTCCACCATAGCCACTGCCAAAACTGATAATTTCATTTCGTTCGGGAAAATGTGTGATCAACGTTTGTTCAGGATTACTTGGCCATGTTGAACACACCGGTTTATCTGATGGTAATGGCACACCAACCGAATGAAGACACTTAACAACGGTTGACCCGTCAGGTACTTTCAGTTCTTTGAACACTTGTGTACCCATACGCGTCATGATTCGCATGGAAACAACAACGTATGGTGAATCTGTGATCTCAATAGCAACTTTTGAATATGGACTGGAGTATGGACCCATCATATATGGAATAACGAAGAGGGTACGACCACGCATACAACCGGCAAAACGTTTCTCCATGACTTCCATCATTTCATCTGAATCCATCCAGTTGCCCAATGGTGTTTGTTTGAGATTTTTTGGTAGATTGGGATCTGTTACAGGTGGAAAACCTGAGCGAGGTGTTGATACAACGTCATTCATGTTCTTCGTACAGATAATCGTGCGTGATTCAACCCGAGCAACGTCACGCGGATCCGTTGTAGCGATATAACTGAAATTCACAACGAAAATTTTCGCTTTCGAATGGAAATTTTCCTCCAATCTTACCAATTTTTATACTTTTTCAGACGACGAATGACACCGGCTTGTTCCATGGCATCAAGTAATTCTTGATTTTCTTGTTCACTTCCATCGCAAACGTGAAAACTACTTGGTTGACACAAAGTGATTTTCTCTTGAACATATTCGCGAATTTTCGATGGTAAACCATCGAGTGAATTATTTGCATGAGCATAAACTTCCATCTTGTTTATTTATCTATTAAATACAAGTAAAAATAAATATTTAGTCTTCATTTCTATTTCAGATCAAGTTTAGAGAGTTTACGATGCCGCCACCAGCAGCAGTACTAAAGAAGAAAGGTGCATCGAAAAATCCACCTATCTTTAGTCAAGAATTTCTTATTCAAAATCACGGTAACTCTCCGACGTTCTCACCTCGATCGAAATAAATCTTCTCCTTTCAGGTGATATCACAAGTGGAATTCTAATGCTCTTAGCAGTTGGAACGATCATTCAGGCAACATCAGCTTATTGTGGCGCATTCTTCGGTCCTCGTCATAATGTTACACAATTCGATTCGTTTAATACACCAACATCTCCGCTTTTCAACTATGGTTATAAAGATTTAGCTATGCTCTTCGCCTACACACTTGTGTGTATTACCGCCCATGCTATCTGGCAGGAATATGTCTTAGACAAAGTATATAAGAAACTTCATTTATCCAAAGCGAAAATTGCCAAGTTTTTCGAATCCGGTCAACTTATTCTCTTCTATGTCATAAGTGTCATTTGGGCAGTGATGTTGTTTAATAATGAAGAGTATTTTCAATCGGGTTTATCGTATCTTTGGCGTGATTATCCTTATACTGGTATGACAGCGTGGACAAAGCTCTATTTTATCGTTCAATTATCCTATTGGTTACATAATTATCCGGAATTATATTTACAAAAAGTTCGCAAAGAAGATATTCCATCTCGTCTTGTTTATACAAGTTTATATTTGATCACTATTCTCTACGTTTATTTGACCCGGTTTTGGCGTATATCAATAGTCTTATTGACAATTCACTATTTAATCGAAATCTTCTATCATGCGTCGCGCTTAGCTCATTTCTATGCTACGGGAAAAACGATCTCAACCTCGACAAAATCGACGTTAGAATATTTATTTAAGATTTGGAACGCAGTTTTTATTTCCGGTCGATTGATTTCCGTAGTTTTAATCTGGTTAACATTTTGGTTCGGTTTACGAAGTACCTCAGTTGATAAAATATCCCTTACACCAACGGATCAAGACGCAGTTCTCATTTCCAACTTTAACACTCCAACAGTTCGATTTTTTACCTTAGTTGTCGGCGGTGCATTACAATTTTGGTTAGTTTGGAATTTTATCCAGGTAAGGATTCTGAAGAGAGATTCTCATGTGAATGAAACTCCCTTTTTCAATTTAGTTCCATATGAAACGTCGACGTGAACGAGCTCTTGCTCAAGCAGCAGCTACTAGTTCAATAAAAGTACCCAGTAAACCCAA